TTTTGGGTTGGATTAAGAAGAAAACTATCGGGGTGCCTGGGTGGCTCAGTCAGTTCAGCATCCAACTCTTGATTTCGGCTCAGGTCATGATCTCAGGGTCATGAGATCAAGCCCCAGGTCAGGCTTGGTGCTGAGCTCCATGCTGGGGATGAAGCCTGCTTAAGATTCCCTCTCTCTCCCTCTTCCTCTACTGCTCGTGTGCACGTGCCTTCTCTCTTTCTGTCTCTCTCTCAAAAGAAGAGGAAGAAGAAGAAAACTATATTTCAGGGTTCAATCAAAGAAGCACAATCAGTATGAGTGTAAAGAATAAGGGCTTGGTTGTAGAAATTAGACCTTACACAATTGGGGGACATTTGATACAATTTAATGCCCATGATATTTTTAAAAAGCCATAGCAACTAGGAATGGAAAGGAGCATATTTTATCTATAATAGGTATCCTTTAAAAAAAAAAAAAAAACCTATAGCAAACAGCATATTGGTGAACTGCTAAAAAATTTTCCCTCTGAAATCACGACTTGGATGGATGCTCACATGGTCCCAGAGGTCCTAAGTGACACAAAAACGGAGGAAGGAGAATTAAGGACTGGAAAGGAAGAAGTAAAACTAAAGATCCTTAGAAAACATGCTTCTGGATTATTGCTGGATACAGGGTCACCATAGACAATTCATTTGTATTTCTCTATCAGCAAAAATTAGAAAACTGAAAAATTTTTAAATGATACCATTTATACAATCATACCTAGAAGTAATTCTAATGAACTGTACACAAGACCTTTACATATAAAACTTTTAAAAGGTAAGATATGAGTTATTATTATTTCATGACTTCATAATACAATGTATTCATATTTCATTATTAAGGAGACCTAAATAAATAGATATAGCAAGGTCACAGACTGGAAATAGTATAAGGATGTCAGTCCTCCCCCAACTGATAAATAAGTTTGGTGCGATTTTAATCAAACCCAAGTAGGGTTTGTGTATGAGTATGACTATATACTACAGACCAGTGAAGAAAGTTTTTTTCAATAAATGATGCTGGTCCAATTAAATACAGATGGATGTCTTTAATAGATGATAGGTTTAAATTTGAAAGTAAAATAAGGCTTCTTAAAAATAGCATGGTAGAGGGGGAGCCTGGGTGGCTCGGTCGGTTAAGCGTCCGACTGCGGCTCAGGTCATGATCTCACGGTCCGTGAGTTCGAGCCCCGCGTCGGGCTCTGTGCTGACAGCTCAGAGCCTGGAGCCTGTTTCAGATTCTGTGTCTCCCTCTCTCTCTGCCCCTCCCCTGTTCATGCTCTGTCTCTGTCTCAAAAATAAATAAATGTTAAAAAAATAATAATAACATGGTGGAGAGGTGCCTGGGTGGCTTAGTTGGTTAAGCGTCTGACTTCGGCTCAGGTCCTATCTCACAGTTCTTGAATTCAAACCCTGCATTGGGCTCTGCACTGGCAGCTCAGAGCCTGGAGCCTGCTTCGGATTCTGTGTCTCCCTCTCTCTCTCTTCCCCTCCTCTCTCTCTCTGCCCCTCCCCTGCTGCACTCTGTCTCTCTCAAAAATAAACATTAAAAAATTTTTTTTGTTAAATAACCTGGTAGAATATCTTTGTGATCCTGATGTAGCAAAGATTTCATGAACAGGACATAAGGACATTAACAGAAAAGAGTAAAAAAAAAAAAAAAAAAACTAAACTAAAATTAACAATTTAATCTTTAAAGTGAAAAGAATCAGATAAAATAGTTACAACACATAAAATAGGTAAATAATATATAAAGAATCCCCTCAAAACAATAAGAAAATGATAACCCAATAGAAAAATTAGCAAGAGACTCAAACAGGCACTCCTCAAAAGATGATATACAAATAGTCAATAAGTATGAAAAGGTTTTCAACCTCATAAGTAATCAGAATGAAAATTAAAACAAAAGCGTATACTACAACATAGCTGACAAAAACGACTAAAATTTAAAAAGTGACAATACCAAGTGCTGACAAAGAATATGTAGTAACCAGAATCTTTAATATACTGCCAGTGAGACTTAAAATTGGTACAACTACATTGGGAAAACAGTTGCTGCTATGAACACGGGCTTTATTAAAATTAAAGAAATGCAAACACAACCGTTTAACTTCTAGGTGAATTCCCAACAGAAATCCATATATTTCTTGGCAGCAAATGTGTGCCAAAAGGCAGGTACATTATTCCTAAAAGCATCATTTATTATAGGTCAATAGGAAAAAAAAATGCTAATGCCTATAAACTTTAAAATGGACAGGGGCGCCTGGGTGGCGCAGTCAGTTAAGCGTCCGACTTCAGCCAGGTCACGATCTCGCGGTCCGTGAGTTCGAGCCCCGCGTCGGGCTCTGGGCTGATGGCTCAGAGCCTGGAGCCTGTTTCCGATTCTGTGTCTCCCTCTCCCTCTGCCCCTCCCCCATTCATGCTCTGTCTCTCTCTGTCCCAAAAATAAATAAAAGTTGAAAAAAAAATAAAATGGACAAATAAGTATGGAATGTGTGCATCCAGTAGAATACTTGAGACCAATAAAAATGCGTTAACTATTGCTTCATGCAGCAACGTGGATGGAGCTTATTATCATACTGTCAAGAGAAAGAACTCAGGGAGTACATTAAAAAAAGAGTACTTTGGGGCGCCCGGGTGGCTCAGTCAGTTAAGCGTCTTACTTCAGCTCAGGTCATGATCTCACGGTCCGTGAGTTCGAGCCCCACGTCGGGCTCTGTGCTGACAGCTCGGAGCCTGGAGCCTGCTTCGGATTCTGTGTCTCCCTCTCTCTCTCTGTCCCTCCCCCGCTCACGCTCTGTCTCTCTCTCTCACTCTCTCAAGAATAAATCAACATTAAAAATTAAAGAAAAAAGAGTACCTTATATATGATTCCACTTATATAAGTTTATAAAAGTTTTGAGGGCACCTGGGTGGCTCAGTTGGTTAAGCGTCGGACTTCAACCCAGGTCATGATCTTTTAGTTTGTGAGTTCGAGCCCCACATCAGCCTGCACTGACAGTGCAGAGCCTGATTAGGATTCTCTTTTTCCCTCTCCCTCTGCCCCTTCCCCACTTGCACACACTCTCTCTCAAAATAAATAAACTTAAAACAAAAATTTTTTAAAGTTTATAAAAGTTTGAAAACAGGCACCTGGGTGGCTCAGTCGGTTACACATCCAACTTTGGATTTCAGCCCAGTTCATGGGTTCAGACCTCTCATTGGGTTCTGTGCTTAGAATTCTCCCTCTCTCTGACCCCCCACCTTTCTCTTTCTCTCTTAAATAAACTGGGGTGCCTGGGTGGCTTAGTCAGTTGAGTGACTTCAGCTCAGGTTTTGATCTCAAGGTTTGTGAGTTTGAGCTCCTGCCATCAGACTGTCTTCTGTCAGCACAGAGGCCATTTCAGATCCTCTGTCCCCCTCTGTCTCTGCACCTCCCAGCTCGTGATCACTTGCTCTCTCTCTTTCTCTCAAAAATAAACATTAAAAGAATAATAATAAATAAATAAACATTTTCTAAACGTTTGAAAACAGGCATAACTAATCTGTAGTGTTAAAAGTCAGTATGGTGACTATATTTAGGGAGGAGAGAAAGGCATTTGGGAGGGGACATGTAGAGGACTCCTGGGACAATAGTGATGTTTTATTTCTTGACTTGGGTAGTGGTTATATGGGTTCCCTATGTGATAATCCATTGGTCAGTACACTTCTGGATCATTCGTTTTTCTCTACGTTCTACTACCTTTTAAAGTATTGTTAGTAAATAGCATAACAGACACCATTAGGAATTTGAAAGGTGCTGTGACAGTAGATATGGAAGAGATTCATAGATTTTTATGTGTGATAAAACATGCAGCATAAAATTTGCCATCTTAATCACTTGTAAGTGTTCAGTAGAGTGTTAAGTAAATTCACTTTGATGCAAAACAGAGCTCCAGAACTTTTCATCTTGCAGAACTGCCTAAATTCTAAACAATTCCCGTTTTCCCCCGCCCGTAGCCCTTGGTAACCTCCACTCCACTTTCTGTTTCTATAAATGTGACTGTTTTAGATACCGCATACAGGTGGAATCCTACAACATCTGTCTTTTTTTGCCTGGCCTCTATCACTTAGCATAGTGCCCTCAAGGTTCTATGAATTTATTTTCTTTCTAAGACATAGGATACTCCGTTGTATGTATGTACCACATTTTGTGTATACATCCATCCCTTGAGGAATAGTGATGAATGTCTCTGGCTATTGTGACTGGTACTGCTGTGAACATAGGTGTGCAAATCCCTCTCCAAAACAAACCCTGCTTTTCTTTTGGATGTATACCCAGAAGCGAGGTTGCTATATCATACGTCACTACCATTTTTAATTTTGTGAGCAACTGCCACACTGCTTTCTTGGGCAGATGCACCATTGCACAATCCTACCAAGTGCTGGAACCAAACTGGGACCAAAAGGGTTCCCATTTGTCTGCATCCTCACTGACGCGCTTTTTTGTGTGAAATAGTAATCACCCTGAAAGGTGTGAGATGATATCTCATTGTGGTTTTGAGCTTAAAAGTATGTTTTCCTAAATTTAAACATCTTTTTTTTTTATATATATTTATTTTTGAGAGGGTGGGGGGGGTGGGGAGGGTCAGAGAGAGAAGAAGACCGAGAATCCCAAGCAGGCTCTGCATCATCAGTGAGGAGCCCAATGTGGGGCTCGATCTCACAAACCGTGAAATCGTGACCTGAGCCGAAACCAGGAGTCAGACACTTAACCAACTGAGCCACCCAGGTGCCCTCTAAATTTAAACATCTGTATTGAGTTATAATTCACATATCACACAATTCACCCATTGCGGGTGTACAATTCAGTGGTTTTTAGTATATTCAGTTTTCGTGCTTCATCACCACAATTTTAGAGATTTCCATCACCTCAAAGTGAAACCACATGCCCTTTAGTGTTCATTCCCCTGTGTCCACCCCAGCCTTTAACAAACACTTTTGTACTTTCTTCCACTGCAGATTTTCTGCGGATTTCCCTTTTTTGGAAATTCCGATGGTATTTCTAAAGGAATGTTGTTTGCAATGCTATGACAGTGAAATTCAAGATCTAGAGGAAATGGATGCTTTCTGGGCAAAGTGTAAATTTTCAAATGGACCCAAGAAGAGGTTGAAAACCCAGAAGATCAATAGAACTAAAACATGAATTTGAAATGTAACTTTTAAAATACATGCCAAATCCAAATAGCTTTGCATCTTAATTTTACGTATACTTCCAAAAACAGGAAATTCTCAAGGACTATTCTTGAGGCTAGAAAAAGAGAATGTTTTCACTCTTTGAAACGAAGATAAACTTACTACCCAAACCTTGTTTTGTTTTTGTTGTTGTTGTTCTTTCCAATTAAGTAGGCACCACGTCCAGTGTGGGGCTTAAACTCATAATCCTGAGATCAATAGTCACATGCTCTACCAACTGAGCCAGCCAGGTGCCCCATACGACCCAAACCTTGTAAAGATATTGCCAAAATAAATAAATCCATTGGCTAATTTCACTAAGGAATATGAACATAAATAGGCTAAATAAAATATTTGCAAACTGAATCAGTAACAATTTAAAATAATTTGAAATATAAGCAAGTTGAATGTAAAAGAATAATAAATCAGGGCGCCTGGGTGGCTCAGCTGTGCTGCAAGGATAAGACAGATAAGGGATTTTAAAGACTTGGTTTAAGCAAACAAAAATATCCGCTATCTCATTAATAATTTTGTATATTCCATGTTGGAATGATAATGTTTTAAATGTATTGGGCGAAATAAAATATAATATTAAAATAGTTTTCACCTGTTTTCTTTTTACTTTTGTAAAACATGGCTAGTAGAAAATTTTATATTTTGTGTGTTGGCTTGCATTATATTTCTGTTGGACAGTACTGCTGTGTGTCAAATACCAATATACATTAAGGAAAAAGTCTAAGGTGGCTGAATATTAGATAATTATATAAAAATAAATAACTTTTATGCCTTAACCAATTAGAAATGGAACTAGAGAAGATATCTGTAGGGGCGCCTGGCTGGCTCAGTTGGTAGAACACGTTACTCTTAATCTCAGGGTCGCAATTTGGAACCCCAGGTTGGGTGTAGAGATTACTTAAAAAAATAATATTTTTTTTTAATTTTTGTTTTTACGTTTATTTATTTTTGAGACAGAGAGAGACAGAGCATGAACGGGGGACGGTCAGAGAGAGAGGGAGACACAGAATCTGAAACAGGCTCCAGGCTCTGAGCCGTCAGCACAGAGCCCGACGCGGGGCTCGAACTCATGGACCTCGAGATCATGACCTGAGCCGAAGTCGGACGCTTAACCTACTGAGCCACCCAGGCGCCCCAAAAAGAATAATTTTTAAAAAAGAGGGGCACCTGGGTGGCGCAGTCGGTTGAGCGTCCGACTTCAGCCAGGTCACGATCTCGCGGTCCGTGAGTTCGAGCCCCGCATGGGGCCCTGGGCTGATGGCTCAGAGCCTGGAGCCTGTTTCCGATTCTGTGTCTCCCTCTCTCTCTGCCCCTCGCCCGTTCATGCTCTGTCTCTCTCTGTCCCAAAAATAAATAAACGTTGAAAAAAAAATTAAAAAAAAAAAAGAAAAGAAAAGAAATCTCTACATATAGTAGTGAGAAAACTCTACATCCCACAAAATTATATACATAAATCAAAATGCCTACAAGAGGATGGGGTGTTGGGTTTTTTTAGCTCGGTTGTTTGTAATACTTATTTTTGTGTGGTACCTGAAGCAAATAATTTAATAGCCCTAAGAAGAAATAAATATGGAAACGACGGAAGACCTGCTTCATCAGAGTGTAAAACTTTGTTATAAAGCTCCTGTAATTACAAGAGTACAGTACTGGGATAGGAACACATGACTAAATAGTAGAAGCAAAAGAGATCCAAGTTTCATGAAACATAATCTGTGGCAAAGGTATTGTTTTAGTTCTGTGAGAAAAGGAATTTTTAAAAATAAATGTTGCTGTGATATATTTCTATTTTAGAAAACAAAACAGGATATGAAAACAGTGGAAGGATCCAGTATGTAAAAATAAAGTCCAAATGGGATATAAAAAATAAACAAGAAAGTTTAGGAGAATGTGTATATAATAATTGTGTCCAAACCTTAAACAATTGCTGGAACCCAGTAAGCAAAAGAGAGAAATGAGATCCAGAAAATGAAACTCAATTGAAATAAAGAGAGAAAGAAATTCTAACATTGAATAGTGAGGGGAAGATAGCATGACAGCATGGTGGGCATACCTTCTGGATTTTGAACTGTTTTTTTTTTTTTTTTTATAAAAAGCTTTAAATAGTATGAATGGATAACTTTGATTAAAAAAATTAACACTAAGATTAAAAAAGAGGTGTGTGTGTGTGTGTGTGTGTGTGTGTGTACACGATGATAATAAAATTTGGAAGTATTTATGATGATTTTGTACTGCTAGCCTATCAAATTCACCAAGAATTCTCTCAAATGTTACTGCCCCCGTTTTCAAAAGAAAATGAAGCTAAGAAAGATTAAGTAAATCAGCTAAGATCATACCGCTAAGTAAAGACAGCCATATTTCAACCTTGGTCTAGACCATCTAAAGTTAAGAGCTATTTTTTCAATACTTCCGGTAGAATGAATGTTGTTACTCCTTTTCCCCGAATGTACCCCTCCCACCTAGTTCTACTTTCCCTTCTCTGTACTCTCCCCACTATCCCCTGGACAGGTATATAATTAGGTAATTTTTGTTTAGGCCAAATAGTCACAGTGTATTAAGGAAAATGGAGCCTATCACATAAATGTGTAATCCCTCACTTAAGTTATTTACATGCTAAAAAGCCAAATTAGAATTAGATCAGAGTTTTCAAAGGAAAAGGATCACCAAAGTAGAGACATAGTCGTGGTAACTGCTATTAGAGGAATAGTTACTTGTAGGTTATTTCCCCTTGGATTTGAATTAATCAGATGTGTAAGGTGAGTTTCTTAGAAGCTGTCAATTTTGATAGTCACATACAAGACATTTGGCTGCATTTGTAGGCTCAGATATTTTCTTAAAAGCTAAGGCATGCAGCTAGAACTGTTGTCTCACCACATAACTGTAATAGGATTATATACACTTAGTAATTATACTAAGGCGAAAAGCAAATACTTACTGTGATTATATAATTCGGTACCATTAATGAAAGGCAACTGTTAAAAATGAAGGTTTGTAAAAAACAAATAAATAATAAAATTAAAAAAATAATAAAATAAAATAAAAATCAAGGTTTGTAGGAGAAAAGCCTATACTCAAGAGCAAAAATGGGGCGCCTGGGTGGCTGAGTTGGTCACGTGTCCAACTTCAGCTCGGGTCATGATCTCCTGGTTCCTGAATTCAAGTCCCGCGTCAGGCTCCATGCTGAGTGCTCAGAGCCCGGAGCCTGCTTCGGATTCTGTGTCTCCGTCTCTCTCTGCCCCTCTCCTGCTCTCGCTCTCTCTCTCTCTCTCTCTCTCTCTCTCTCTCAAAAATAAACATTAAACATTTTTTTAGATAGAGAAAAATGGTTCTCAGTCCACATATATAAAGAAGAAGGCGGCGAGAGGAAGAGGAAAGAGAAGACGGGAGAAAGGAAGGGAGGGAAGGAGAAAGAAAAAAAGAGTGGGGCGGGGCTTTGGGGGAGGGGGGTGAGAGAGAAAGGAAGGAATACTAGCCAATGGTTCCCCCCGGAGCAGCAACTCAAACCATCACCTTGAGATTAACCCCCCAATGCTAACTTACAGGAGGGTGTGAGAAGTGTTCGGCCTGCAAGGAGAGGGATAAATATCCAGGTGGGAGCAGTTGTTGATAGCTCTGTATTTGAAGGTTTAATAACTAGAGGTCAATCTACTCTGATGAAGCTGGAGGTGCATGTGGCCCTGTAAAGGCCTTGGGAGGGGCCCTAGCAACGTGTTCTCATGGGCATATCTGTTTGTAAGATTTTCGAAAGTAATGTATTTTAACCGTAGCTAGTTAAAACTCATTTCCTTCCGCTCAGACTTCCCCTTGTGTTGTGTTATGTTTGGGACATAGTTACTTAGCTTGGGTTTAATGGAATAGTCATGGGATTCATAGTCACTCCTACGTATAGATAGGTAAGTCATGGAGAGTCATCCAGGTTATAGGAATGGCTTCCAAGAGCACTCCTCCCTCTCAATGCCTACCCGCCGTGAACCACAACACAAAGATCTAGGACTAAAGCCAAGCCTGTAGCCTACTCTGTAGAAAATTCTTCCAGTCAACTCTTCCAACTGGGAACATATGAAATTGTAAGCTGGAGGCTTTGGCCCTCATCAACACCTTACTTCAAATGGAAGTCCTCGCCTGTCAAGAACGTGTTCGGTAATGCAATGCGTACAAGTATAAACGAACCATTCGTTAAAAAAAAAAAACAAAAAATGGGAATGGCACAACATAGAATTTGTCAGAACCCCTGTGTTTGTGGGGCAAAGCCTGTAGCAGCATTACAAACTGCAACTGTGTCTTTGTGTGAAGTTGTATTTTATGCTTCCATGATTGGATTGAGTCTTGGCATATCTAACACCTCTTGTCCTGACAAATTCTGGCGGTTGTGGACAAGACGGCATGCCGAGCTGGCACCAAGGCAGTGAAATGGCCCTGAAATCTTGCCACTTACATGTAAAAGAAATTTGATTAGGATTTTCCCAGGTTTGACAACCGTTCTGAAAATTGTCGTTGCGGAACCAATCATGAATGGCATTGCAGAAATTTTCAACTATTAATAACAAAAGAATTTTGATTGGCCATCATTATAAAGACTCAATTACCTTTCTGTTCTCTCTAGAGAATATGATTTCTAAAAACAATGATATAAAAGAAGCAACAAAACATTAGGCAGCCAGAGAAGGTAGGAAAAAGTGATTTACAGATATGTCAGCCAGGTAATAATTATTTAACTAATTAAAATAGCTTAAATGTAGAAATAAAATTATTTATCTCAATTTAGTGACATCTCTGGTATTTGTCAGCTTCCAAAAATCTGTAATTCCCAGGACGCTTGGGTGGCTCAGTGAGTTAAGCATCTGACTCTTGATTTCAGCTCAGGTCATGATCTCACGGTCGAGAAACTGAACCCCATGCCAGGCTCCGAGCTGAGCGTGAAGCCTGCTTGGGATTCTCTCCCTCTCTCTCTGCCCTCACCTGCTCGTGCTCTCTCTCTCACAATAAATAATAAATAAACATTAAAAGAAAAATAATGGGGCACCTGAGTGGCTCAGTCATTTAAGCATGCAACTTCAGCTCAGGTCATGATCTCGAGATGTGTGGGTTCAGGTCCTGCTTTGGATCCTCTGTCTTCCTCTCTCTCTGCCCTTCCCCCGCCCTCTCCCCAAAATAAATATTTTTTTAAATGTTAAAGTACATTTAAAAAAGAAAGAAATGGGCAGAAGACACGAACGGACATTTCTCCAAAGAAAACATACAGATGGCCACGGGACACATGAAAAGGTAACTCGACATCACTCATCATCAGGGAAATCCAAATCAAAACCACAAAAGATACCACCTCACATCTGTCAGAATGGCTCAAATTAAAA